AGTTAAGCCAATAAGTCAATTGTTCACACTGTGGCACTGGGGGATTCGATTTACCAAATGCAGCCAAGCATTCCACGATGGGGCAGGAGAGGAACAAACAAATATTGAAACACAAAACTACAAAGAAAACCGTAGCTAAATGATAGAGGGCGTGCAATGCATAGTGCGCTTGACGTGAGGCATGACGCTAGCAAGAGGTTGTGAACTGGTGAAAACTGAAAAAGTCACCAAAACCAATCATTTACAACAAATAGAATGCTTTTTATCTACGCAGAGATGTGTTAACTCAATCATTTATATGTGTGTGAGTAATTTTTTTTACAGTTAATATGAACATAGCTGCATTTAATCAATGGTTGAAAATATCACTAGCGTGAAAGACATATCATGGAGATGGTAATCACTAATCAGTGGAAATAATTATTCTTAAGATAAATCATATGTAGATAAACTTGTTCATCTACATATGTATGGGTAGTATTGTAAGTAACAGAGAGGGTGGTCGATCACCCATTACCCAACCACGTGTCCTACTAGACCTTTCCAAGTGTAATTCCATGAAATGACTTAGATCAACGTGACTGTACACGATTCTTTCTAAATCACTCGGATTTTGATTGTGATTCAAAGAGATCAGTGGGGTGGGCTAGAAGGGGTCCTGGAAACCAGTGTGGTCCTTACTCTGATAAAACTCTGGCTCACGGGTTTTGCTTAGTTGGATTCATGAGGTTTTGGGTTGGGATGATTTTTGTTCTTGGGGTTTAGGATGATTTCGATGTTTTTCTTTTCTTTAATACAAATTTAAGTAACATTATCAGTCTGTCATAATAGTTTCTTATATCGAATTTTCATTCACAAGAATTAAAATTAATATTTCTTATCTGTAAGGAAAAAGACATTTTGCATTGTAGTTAATGTGATTGTTCAGTCTACAACAATTTTCTCTAGGTTCTCAATTCCACCTATGTGAATGGTGAGTTGTGTTTTAGTCTATAAGAGTAAGACATTTTGCATTGTAGTTAATGAACATGACTTGGCTGCTGAATTTTCAGCAGCCACTCCTGCTTACTGCCAATCCTGGATGAACACGTGTCCAAGTTTTTATTTTTTAATTAAAACTTAGACACGTGTCCATCCGGGATTAGGTGTAAGCAGGAGTGGCTGCTGAAATGTTCAGCAGCCAAGTTAATTCCGGTTAAGAAAATGTGACATAGGGTTAGTTTGGAAAGTGCTTCGAAATGATTGAAAAATACTTTTAGAAAATATGATTAGTAAAATTGTAAGGACTTTTTTGAAAGTATTTTTAAAATGACTCAAAACGCTTTTGAGAAATTGCTTTTGGGTTGCAAAAACACTTTAAGTGTTTTTTTTTTTTTTCTCTAAGAAGCACCAAATATGTGCTTCTTACTTTTAAGGTTTTTTTTTTTTTTTTTTTTTTTTTTTTTTTTTTTTTTTAAGGATCCACTTGGATTGTTACTAACTATTGGTTTCAAAAACATTATGACTAAAAAAGCTTTCGGTCATTTTAAATGTACTTCTGAACAAACCCTAAGTCAATTCTGAAAAAGTATTTCAAGTGCTTTCGATCATTTTAAAAGCACTTCCGAACGAACCCTAAGCTAATTCTGAAAATTAGACCCCAAAAATATTTTTTCTAAAAGCATATTCAGTCATTTAAAAATATTTTTCAAACGAGCTCATAGCCTAAGATGTGAAAGTATAATTATTGCAAAAACATATTCATTCATTTAAAAATACTTTTCAAATGAGCTCAGAATCTAAGATGTGAAATTATAATTATTGCAACTTGCAAGGGTGGTGGATGCATATGACGTTGACGGGTAAGGAGCTTTCAATCTTTTAATCTGGTATTGCAATCATACACATGGATAGGTGGTATGATTTTCACCCGAAAAGAATTTGGGAACAAGAAAAAAGATAACCATAATAAAGTTTAATTGTTTCCTATCTACAAAAACCTAATGAAGTTTGTTAATTGTAAACCCTTGTGATGCAAAAGTGTGAATGTTGCGTATGTAGATTAGATCGTTTGGTTATAACAATGTGTTAGTCTATTTACATTCAAATATAAACTTTACCTAAATAAAGTAATAAAAAAAAAGAGAATAAAACTGAGGAAAAAGAGGTAGGTTTGTTATGGACGGTATATGTTGTTGAACTCTCGTCACCAATCCACTGAAAGATAGAGATTACGTATAATTATTTGAATTTACAAGTGCTCGAGTGAATCAGGTCCTCTGATGTTTGTCTATAGACTCCAAAGCCAAAACTGTAAAACCTATACATATCCACTCTCTTATTTTTCATCGACGATGACGCTCTAGGAGAAGAATAAAACTCCACAACTCCATCGAGGGAGGAATTTTTTTGGCTCCGGACTACTTCTTTCTATACACCAATCAAGAAAAGAGTCAATGAGTCAAAGAACCACACGGTATGTTCACTTCTCATGTTGCGGGAGAGGACATGAGAAAAAATAATGTAGAGTATTGTTATTCATACACTCATTTTTATCTTTAATATAATCTATTAATTAATGTTTTTTAATCATTTTCAATTCATTCGATCAGACGGCTGAAGAAGCGTGTTTGGAAGGTAAAAGAAAAGTATGTGGATAGGTTCATCCTAATTTATTTATCTACGTATAGCGGACATAATCTTTGTTTCTTGTCAAGTATAGAGGCAGAATCAAGCAATCCCTAGAGATTTTCTGGTTTCTTTCATTTCGGGCACTTGCCGGTTGCTATATCTAAAAATATTTATAGATACTAAATGTTGGACTAACTTAGATCAGGCAGTAAATTTTTTAATGTTGTTGAGAGTATTAATCCTACATTGAGAAAAAAGAAAGGTTTTATATGTGCTTATAAGTAATTGGGTTACTTAGTTTTGTGGTGGAATATCAACTTTCTTTGAATGCACAAAAACACATCAATGTATATTGTGCTTCATTCAAAGTTGAGTTACGTCCAAATAAATTATTGTTTCCACGTACAAAGATAATGCAACTTATGTTGAGAATGAACCTCATATTAATAGAATGAAGGACCTTCTAAGTAGTTGAGCTATTCCCTTATTACCAAATAGTATTATACTGTAACCTCAACTTTTCCAATGATATCAGAGCATTGCCCCAGCCAAACAACAACACTGCTTCACGTCATCCCTTGCAAGGCTTATAAGTAGTTAGACTACTTTTCATGTTGGCAATTAGTTTTACGAACCCTCAACTTTCTCCCAATTACATGATTAAGTTGTCATCGTTCATGATAATTCAAACCCAATATATAAGTCATGCCCTTCCTTTCCGATTTACGGTGGGATGCATTATATTATACAATACAGTGAGTCATCGTTGAATATTCAGCACCTTGATATCGACTTCGAATATGCAAGATTGGATTTGATTCCAGACACGTATTACCAAAATACAAAAAGAGCACTCCACCTCTTTCTATTATTTGCTGTACAGCTGCTACTTAAACGACGAACCAAACATAAAAAAATGGAAGAACAAACGACATACCACCTCCCCCCGCGCGTTTTCTGTGTTTGCTTCATTGACAGATCGAAGAACAAAAAGAAGTAGGTCAAACATCTTTTTAGAGAGAAAGTAGCCAAGTAGGCAACTCCTAGTCTTAGAAAGATCATATATAATGTGTATATAATTAACTCGCATGCTAAGCAGGATTGACTGGGAATGCGCCTGAAAAATCTTATATATCTACAAGTAGCAAAATTTGAAAAAGGATGTTCATCTGTAAAGCGCTTAATTATACAAAAACACGAGATTTTGAATTTTGATCTAACTAGTTGATTTCACGATTAGTTCAAACTCCTACCAAAGTTTATCTCCTTCGCAAGAGGAGTAAAACCTACCGACTTTTTTACATTGAGAAGGAGCAGAACTTGAGTGACGGTCCTTCGCATCATTCCTAAAACACCTCTCACAAAAATATAAACTCCATTATTTGCTCTCACTGTGTGTGTAAATTTTATTCTCGGTTTTCTTCGACTGTATGGTAAATCCTTGTGAAGGTAAAGGCTATCTAGGCACTGCCGACCATCACATTTTCTCGTCGATTATTATTACTACTATTTTTTTATTGTTTTTGTGTGGCTTTGTGGTCTTCGCTTATCTTTGTATTCATTATGGCTAATTTGGAAGATATTGCGACGGCGCACTGCAAATAAGATTCAAAACCATGCGTTCACACTGAATACTGCGACGGCGACCGTAAATTACTTGTCCTTCATCCATTATTTGTGTGCCATAGAATGTGTGGCCTTCCAGATGTTTTGTGACGATATTGGACCAAGACGGACCTCGACCGAAATTTATCTTGTTTTTCTTTCAGGATCAACGCCATAGATGCCATGTCACGGTCCATTTTTAATCGGCTATTTAGCAACCATTTTTACGGGGAGAAATACGTTGAACGGTAAAAAAATAAAATTAAAAGTAAAAACGCCTTACCATGTGACTAGTCAAGCCACTCTGACAACGTTTGATCCCACAAAACTACAATTCAAAATACCGGATCCCACTCTTTGTGAGCAAGGACGAATCCACCTTGGGAAATACCACGCCCCCCCCCCCCCCCCAAGCTCAGAAGTTCTTTATGGAAGAGATGGGTGTTACCAATTGAAAATTTGAGATGCTCATTGCCCTTAAAATCTACCCTCCAACTGCTCGACGAATTGCTATGAGCATGTGTCAAAAAGCTCACTCAATATATGTTTGACATCTGTCAACGTGCTCACTCGAAAGCTGTTGGCATTTGTCGACAAGTGAGCAATAAGACTTGACAAATGACTCAGGCCTATCAAGGCTCGATGAAATGCCATTTGCATGCTATTACGTCCAAAAACATTTGTGCTCTGGGCGCTTTATTCTTACTGACCCTCCCCATAATATTTCATGTATCCGCCACTGCTTGTGAGAGTGCCTAACCAATCACATGATCAGACTATCCTACTAAAAAATTTCTTGTCTTGCATAGATGGGAAAAAAGAAGAAACGAAGAGAGCAGATTTGCGAAGAAGTTATATTCTTGTGCATTACAGACAGACAACCCACATGATCCAAACTCCAAACTACGAAGGGTTAAATGTGAAGGGGAAAAAAAAGCAATAGATCTAGAAATGGAGGCCAGATGAGGGGTTCTTCAAATCTTTTTCATTTTTCAGATGACGGGTTGGACCGGACCGGTGATCTTCCATAGATTTTAGTCCTCAAATTCATGCATGTGGTCTAAGAGGTAGTTGGCGGCCAATTCTTCGTTCTTGTTGCAGGCAAAGAACACCTGCAATACAATTGCTCGAGCGAACCCCATTGCTTCAAGCTGGGCGAGAAAAGTAATTGTCAATGAGAACGAAAATTGTCTTCTTCTCAAAGAAGAGTAGGAAACAAATCATAAATTGTTAAACGAATATGACAACTCTTAAAACCGGAGAAATCATGAGTTCCTAACATCATTCAAAAGAGTGGATACAGTAGCCACAAGAAGAAAATTAAAACTTTTGAAACCATCAAGCCGATCAGGTAATGAATGTAGAAATGTTTCCAACAAAGCGCCACATGTTTCTAGGAAGATAGAACAAGACTGAAACACTTTCAAACCCTTGAGGTTAACGATTGGACATTCATCAAGTTCTGTAAGATCCCTACTTTCCTCGGAACGTGTATTTGCTTAAATGAAAATCAGCAACACACTTTACAATTGACGAATTTCAGTTAAGTTTGTTCAAATAGAGGTGACTACAAGGCTGTATGTTCTGTTTTCATCTTAGATATGTTCTATTGAAACACGTTCCAACTTGTTATTCAACATAATTATAGCTACATTCCTATGCACTGCATCTATTTAATTAACAGAGTAACAAAGAAAAGAAAGAACTTACACGTTCTATAGCTTCACGCTCCTCACGAGTGATAGTTATTGCCTGTGGCACTGCTGCATCCCCCAGTACATTCCTGAAACAAATTGAACAATGTGCACCACAAACGTGCGTAAATGTTAACAGACATGTAACAAACAAGACGCCTCTAAAGACTAAAATACTACATAGAAGGTAAGATAAGCTCCTTACCCTTCTCCACCTTCAGCAGGTTCGTTAATCAGGCGAAGGAAGTCAGCCTGATGCGCGCCAATTAGCCTCACTAGATTAGGGTTTTGTTTCCCCAACTCTTGAAGCATAGGCTGTGACCAGAATAATATAATGAGTGCCAAAAGAAGATGGTAAATACATCACATTTGGGTGGGAAAGAACCTGCAATATTTGTGGATTAGCCTGCACCATAGATCGCAAGGCTTGGAACTGAAACAAAAAACACCAAGTACGAAGTTATAAAACAGGTTTTTTAATAAAAAAATTTTAGAAAGGAAACCACAATGTTTAAGCATAGCTGCGTGCACAGATGTGCACACACACTCAAGCAACATATAGATATAGAGAGAGAGAAATGACCTGTTGGTTGTCACGAAGAAAATCAAGATTGCCTGCACCACCAGCACCCATGTTTGGAAGGCCCTGCTTCAACAAAATTCAAGTTACCTAAAGAAGATTCCCTACCATAATTTGTTAAGAGTTCTGCATAATAAGTACCTGCGGAAACAGGTTTAAAGGATCGGCATTAGGTCTGCTTGGAGGAGCGGATGCTGGTTGTGCTGACTGTGGAGGTTGTGCTGGAGGGTTTGCGACTTGCTCACTCACAGGAATAGGGACTGCAGGTGGAGCTTCAGGTTGCTCAGGGATACCCTTCAAGAAATACGAAATTGACATCAAAAGGAAAAGACATCAATAATCCAAGAGCAGGGATAGCTGCTGTTCTTTGGTTCTGAAAATCACTACTATCAACGTTTTTTATCAATAATACTACTCAACCTTCTTACCCTTGTTGAAAGCTTAGGACATAATTTGGAAGGTATATAACTAAAAGAGGTAGATCAACTTGTAAATTTGTCATTACAACATCTTCACTTACAGAATAAAGATAGTCAATAGCTCTTGCTGGGTTGTTGAATGCAGCACGGAGAGCACGTACAACAGTATCCCTGTCCCACGTCCCTCCACCCATATCTAGAATTTGCTGAATTGTTCCCTCCAAGTTAGTTCCAGCTACCAGATCAGATGCTGCTTGGCCATAAGAATCAGCTTGTGAACTGCTTCAACAATTACACTGAATTACTTTTAGACAAGAAAAGAATATGCAAAGCCAATGAGGAAGGGGTGGGGGAGAAGCAAACAGAGGTAAAACTAAATACATGAATATGAAACACATGAGGCTCCAAATTTCGAACAGAAAGCATCACCAGAAGGAATAATAATACTCACTTCGTGGTAGGCGAAGCGACAGGAGCAGGTGTGGTAACAGATGCAGGCCTGAGAAATTAAGATGATAACAAACAGAACATGTATAAAGAAAGATGAACAACATGCTGTTGCTACACCTAAAACTTATAAAAAATAACGGCATGAAAGATCTCTGACTCACAGTGCTGAGGCTGCTGCAGGGGCCGGAGTTGCCGTTAATGTCGCAGTTGGAGCACCAGTATGTGCACTTGGCTGTGGTGCCTGCACAGATTTTAAAACAAGCATCAGGTATATCTTCTCCCGAAGAGTAGAACGAGGGAGAGAAAATTTACAAAAGAGCATAGTTTCACACATAAAATTTGAGGCTTTCAACTTTTTAATATCAAATACCAGCATCCAAGTTAACCATGTCTTATCTATAAACATTACAACAATTGCATGTAAGCACTCAACACGAAAAGTACCCTAATTTGTCAGCCACTATAACATCTTCTAAAGAAAATCCTTATAAATTTTGTCACACTAGCAGGAGATTCCTATCTCAAGAAACAAATTTAAGCATCAGAATTTAAAAATTTAGCCTGCGAGCATTCGGAAACAATTATATGTTGCCGCACCATTCTCAGCCAGTCTGGGACTCTGGGTTACTGAACCAAGGTAAACAATGACAAGAGGATGAAACTCTTACCTCAGTTGTAGCCGCTGTTGATGCACCTGAACCTTCACCGCCAGTTGGGCTCTTACTCTAGCATTTTTAAGTAATATAAAGTCAACAACCATTAAACGTTGAGCATAATAACAACTTGTGTCCGTTCAACATTTTGGCTTTTTTTTTTTTTTTGGTCAGAAGCTTGTCACATTCTAAACAGACAAAGAAAAAAAGATCAAGCAACATTATAGAGACTAAGGTCTGAGCTGGTGGGAGAAGGAATTTCAACTAGACAAGTAGTTAGCATAAGAACCAGGGAATTCCGATGACATCACCAACTTCAAGGAACCAAATTTTACATTAAATTATTACTAGAGTTGCGCATAAATTATACGTGAAAGAAACACGGCAATCAAAAGACAAGAATACGACATCATCTCAAAACAGAAATTTCAAAACTAATTAGTGCCATAAAACATAATACCTCTCCATGAATGCTTCTTTACCAAGACATCAGCTATACTACAAGGATACGTACTGTCATTGCGTTATTTATTTTTACTTTCCAAGCTCACTGTCACTACTAACAGAATAATTCAAGTGAATACGGTCTCAACTGGCCAGTTTGAATTCCTATTTGTAACACCCATATGCTTGGTTTGATTCCTATTTCCTGAAGCTAAAACTTGTTATGACACAATCCAAAAGTACACATTATATATAGTTCACACTGTCGCAAACCCGCATGCTGCCTACACGTTTCAGGAAAATTTTATTTGAAGGAAATGTAGCACTTTAAATTACGGGTAATGCTAGGGAGACTAAATTTGGAGACAGTTTTGAAAACAAAAAGGACATGAAAGTTGATGATTTGTTGATTACTTAAACGTTGATAAACGTGCTTATTCCTATTGGTGACACATCATTTAGTTTGCAAATTTAATCTCCCAATTTAGTCTCCCGAGCATTACTCTTAAATTACTGAATAGAAAATGAAACCATTACCTTAGTCAACATTATCACAACAAAGCTATTTTCCGCAACTTTATTTCCGTCCAACGTTGTGTCATCTTTAAGCACTTTTCCTTGATGAATTAGCATCTGTTGTGAAGCAGGGTAAACATCTGAACCCTTACAAGGCTTCTATATGTTTCTTCACATCAGCAACCTAGAGAGAATATCAGTTAGTCATGATTATCGTATCTTCGATCAAGTAGTCAGCGATTACCGCGTAGCAGAAAGCAAAGTAAAATTATAATTTACAACACCAACAAACTACATTTCCTACAACTAGAAATCTCAATGCTAATCCAAAATCTCCCATACCGCAAAATTCATAAATTTCAAGAAAAACAACGATAAGAAATTGGTAAACAAAAAACAAAGATTAAATTAATAATGGAAACGTAAATTCACAGATTCCAATTCCACGATAAACTAATCAAAAACCTAAGTCCAATTAATCTCTTAATCAGAAAAATAATCTCTTAATGCTTACACGCTAATCCCTTACCAATTAACGAAACAAATGGATATTCGAAACAAAAAATCTAGAAAGCACTCCGATTACGATCACAATTGCGCATTATTTCATGCAAATTATGAAATTAACACGAAATTAAAAATTGAGAAACAAAATTTAATCAGAAGGATTGAGGCTAACCGTGTCCTCGGGCTTCACTTCGAGGTCGAAGTGCGTTCCCTTGAGAGTCTTGACGAAGATCTTCATCTTCTTCTCGACAGAATCGCCGCCGCCCGTACAGCCTCGGTGGCTGTGATCCGTAATGGGTTTCAGAGAAAGAAGCCGAATGCGCAAGTAAAGTGAAGTAGGAGCAGAAAATAGTCGACAAAAATCCCAAATTTTCTGGTTTATATACGGCGGACACTGGTGCTAATGCATACGCACTAAAGGCAGACTGTGAAACGCGTGCAGTTTAATGTACGTTGGATTTCAGGTGAGAAGGTGGCGATGGGCGCGTAGATTTAGAAATTATATAGAGGCGCGTTGCCTATTTTGGGTGACTGGTGAATATGGGCAGCTAGATTTTTGTGTCTGATATCACCGTTTGATCCTCGCAGGGTATTTTTGTCATTTGCAAACTAGCGCCTTAATCGCGTTTCTCCTTGAATAAATCTGGTAATCACATGTTTTAGCATTGCTAGATGTTAATAGCAAGTGTTAAAAGGCCTCACGACGAGTCCACTATTGTGTTTACCTTGAGTTGACTATGCACCTTTTTCTCATGATTGGTTCTATTTATTGCGGCGATTTTATATTACTTAAAATTTACGATAGCTGATAAAATCATGTCATGTAAAGAAAAAAAATTAAGAAAAAAAAGGATGAGCGGGATAGGAGGAGAGCGTGTCGCATGTGTAGCCGTGATTCTAGTGCAGTCATTGCCATGTATGGCCAAATATAATGAGTCTCAACAAGTTTCCTCACGTATGATGAATTTTTCAAACCTAACACGAGCACGTAGGACAACCTGCTTTAATACTGGAAAAAAAATTGAGGTTTCACCATAAGACTAATAGGCAATATTGAGAGTAACTCTAACTTATACACTCTTGTAAGGTCCCTCCTCTCTCTCATGTGAGATTCACTCTAATAATTGTTATAATATTGTTTAATGAAAATAAAAATTCATATTTGGAACATATTTTAACATTAGTGAGAGAACCGCAACATCAAAATTAAACGATTTATAATAGAAAATTTTAACGAAACACTATTGGTATTTTTCACTTTAACGAAAAATGATATTTTTACTCTAAAAAGTAGTTATTCTTTTTCTTAAAACACAATGTAAATGTTTTATTTGCCAAAAAAAAAAATATAAGTAAATTAAAGATTACTCAAACTTTTTTTTTTAAGTATTTTTTGGCAGAAAGATTAATTAATCACTCATATCAAATATCGATTCAACAGAAAACTTTTAATTGTTATTTAAACTGTCGATTGTTGGAGTTTTAATGGATAGTATACAATTTTTAGTACTTTTTTTTATCATAATAATAGTTAACCTTTAGAAAATATCGATTCGGAATATGCCACGTGTATAGGAAAAATTCAATACAATTCATGCACCAACTTTCATGACATTGTATAATGTATTTGGGCCTGTTTAAGTTGGGCCACTTAATTGACCAAAAATGAAGTTGAGCCCACTGCTGGAATCATGCTACATCATCCCATTGAATCCTCCATACAAGGCCGCCTTAGAAATCCCATCGTTTCATCGATAAACATCAACAAATTAAACATATAAACAATTTATTATCCTCCAAATCTATTCAAAGTGAGGTTTGTTGTGGCATATGTTCTACTACACATTGTGATTGTGTAAATCTTAAGTAAAAATAGATTAGGAATCCTTTAGAATCTAAGGGCCTGTTTGGTATTCTATTTGAAATTTTTTATCATTTCTTGAAAACAATTTTCTGTAAGATTCAAAAACTTGATTGGTTTGCAATTTTAAATGTTATGACTTAAATTAGACAAAGAGATTTAAAAAGAGGGGATCGTAGGAGAGGGAGAAAGAGGAGAGGAGGAAATAAAGTAAGAGATGATTAAAGGAAAAAGAAAGAAGAGAGAGGATCGGATGAGATAGAGAAGAAGATGAGCGAGAGAACGAAAAGAACGGATTGGAAGAGAGACGAAAAAGGTTAAACAAAAAAAAAAAAAAGGAGAGAAAGAAGAAAATAGAGAGAGAGAGAGAGAGAGAGATTTGGAGTGAGAGGGGATGAGGGAGAAAATAAATGAGTGAGTTTAAGTTTAAAAACTCTAAAAACTCACTTTTTATGTTTTTAGAGAATAAACAATATTTTTGAGTTAGTCTTGAGTTCAATTTTTTAAAATAGTCCTATCAAACAAGTAGAGTACCAAATAGGTCCTAAAAGACTCTTCCTAATAGATTTTGTATTACTTGAAGAGCAAGTTTATTTTCTCTTTATTACTATAAATAAAGACACAATGACTGAGGAATTAACACACAATTCCTTAAGTTCATTATCCACTCTCTTTCTCTCCATGTCGTACCCCTTAGTTAAATATAAGCCACAACAAGGTTTATATTATTATTTTTATATAATAATTCAATTGTTTCGAACTTATCATTTACAAAATTAGAATTTAAAATTTCTCACTTATAATTAAAATAAATATAGTTAAACCATATACTAAATAGTTCAAAATAAATAATTGTAACATCCCAAACAAATTATCATGCGGATGATTTAGGAATAATAAAAAAGTTAAACGTGTTAACCAGGTTTGAGGTTTGAACCCCTCACCAGGTCTCAAGTTTGAACCCCTTGTATTGTTGTCTTACGTAAAATTTAAAAACAAATAATGCTAGATCAAATTTCTGAATCAAATTTTACAAATCAAATGATATAAATATTAATAATTAAACTATTACTTTAAGTATTAGTATTTAACGACAAAAATTTTAGTTGTAAAAATTAAAAACTCATGTCCACATTTCCAGTTACGTAAAAGATCAAATTTGGTCGAGATAAATCTAGGAATTGGTGAAGCATCTGAATGAGATAATGGTAATTTCACATATATTCCCAATAATCTTGATTTAATTAAAATTAACCAAATTAATTTTGCTTAATCCTTTAACAAGAACATATTCCCAACCATTTCCATTTTCATTTTTTTCTTTTGGCGCCAACGAATTTCTTTGTGACTCTGTCATCTTCCATATCAGCCTAAACTCCCACTGTAACTGTCCTACATATTTCTTTTCACGATTCCCTTTTAAAAAAATTTAAAACCAACAAAAAAAAATTTACAGATCGGTCCGGCGTTATATTCCGACCAAGCGGCACCGTTTCGTTTCGAGCTACTGCGCCGGCAGTGTTTCGAAACGCCACGAAAACTCGCCGTAATCAGCCGAGTCAAAATACACGTCGTTGTTTCCGAACAGCCCGTCAAACGCATCGTATTCAGATCCGCTATCGTGAAAGTTTATTTTATCTTGACTTCCTAAAAACAACGAGTCGTAACTCGGAACGGGATCGTCGAACCGCCAAAGATCGTCGGCACCGGACAAGTCGGACGAAACTCGCACCAACTCGTTTTCTCCGCCCTTCGCCGCCTCGTCGCTGAAGTTCTCCGACGGAGGCAAGCCCAGCTCGTCGTCCGAAGCTTCTAGCAGGTATCCAAGGTCGGGATTTGACTCGCCGGACTCTGACGTCAGGTCAACCACCGGCACCGGAGCCTGGATCGGTCTCCGATGCTTGCTCCGTATCCGATGCCGGACGCGGCGACGACTGACAAGAATTTGTTGCGGCAGCTATCTCTTCCTCGAAGCTCTTCATGACGGAGTCGAGGTCCTGAATCGTGGGATCGGCGTCCGAGTCGTCGAGAAAACCCAGAAGGTCTTCCCTGAGCCGCTTCACCTCGGCCGAGTCGTCCGAGTTGTCTCGGACCCGCTTCTTGTTATTTGAGGTGTAGTCCTCCATGTGTGAAATAATACCAATCGCAAGAGAGAGGAGAGTTTTTCAGATGAAGCGTGGGGATGTGGTGGTGGTGGCAAAGCGAGGAGAGAAGGATTATATAGGGGGACAATGTAGAGAGAGAAAGTAGAGAGAGATAGGGAGAGTGTGTCTGGTGATGTGACGCAGGGCGCGTGGGATGGAATACCTAGTCCATCACGGACGCCTTGCCTTTCTTTTTCACATTTTCCTCCCTTTTTTATTTATTTGCTTTTTTATATGGTGGTTCCCCTGTTTCCAGATTTGTTTTCTATTAACTCGATTGAATTCCGGGTTGGAGTCCGGTCAGTTATGGGTCCTACCTGTACTGGTCAATCCCGGCGTCATTAGGTTCATATTTTCCGTCTGTTTGGCTCCGCTCAGCATAGGATTGTGGTTTTATTGGTTCCGGTGCGTTTGTTTTAAGATAGTGCTATTCATTAATTTTTGTAATTTTTAAACAATTTAATCTAACGATAAAAAATTTAAAAAATAAGAAGAAAAGTAAAAATGGATGTGTGTATAACAACGCTCTTATTTTATTGTTCTATGCTAATGTTATAACAGTAGTGTAAACTGTGCAAGGACAAAACGTCATAACCGTAGTGTAAGAAATGTTATAACAGTAGTGTAAGGACAAAACGTTATAACAGTAGTGTAAGACCAATATAACAATAGTGTCATACGAGTTGTTTTGGTTTGTTTGACAATAGGTGAGTGAAAGAGAAAGGAAAACTAATGAAAATAATTTGAAAATTTTGAGTTTTAATAAAAAAGACAAAAATGCGTTGTAAGTGAAAAGTATCAGAAGTGACTTTTTAGAGTAAAAATGTCATTTTCGTTAAAAGTGAACAGTAATATAAGTGTTTTGTTAAAATTCCCTGAAAGAGAACGAAAATATGGGCAAGTGCGAGGGTGCTTTGGGAAAAGTGGGTTGGGCGTTTTAGAATGGAATCGATGGGATTGGATTGGGGGTTAGATTAAGGTGGATTTAGATTTGGAATTGACCCGGGCCGGCGGGTGGGAAGAGACTTGACTTTATGGAAAAAGGGAACGGGGTGGTGTGGAGGAGAAAGTTGTAGGTAATTGATTGGGAATTCCAGTAAGAGCTTTATTGGGTGGTTGATTGCGTGGGTGATGATGTTGATGGGCACCAAAACCAAATGAATTAGCGGAAGTGCCGTGGTGTAGTACAGTAGTAGTACACCAAGGAACACTACCATATTGCCTTTTTTATCAAAAATTATTATTCGTATTTTAAAATTCTCTTTATACGCACTTTACATTTGTATTTTTTTAATTATAAAAAGTTCAAATCGAATGCTTAACATGTAAAATTCTTGATTCAGCCACCAAAATCGCACGTAATTCCTTTCCGCATGGATCAAGTTTTACCAAATTTTTCTATAATTCAACAATTGTAATTCATTTATGAAAAAATTAAGATAATAAACGGATTATAATTCACTCCGGAACTCACTTTCGGAGTTTAAGGATCAAGCAATCTGGACAACTCAAATTGAATTCAACTGTTCTTATTAACTCTATTCGCTGGTTCACTTGACACAAATCAAATGGTCTGATTTCTCTTTTACACAAACCAAATTCTTAAATTTCCAGGTTCTCAAGCTCCGAACCTAAGATCTAGAGCAGATCCGAATTCATAATAAACAATGAATGTGACCAAGTTATGTCCCGCACTAAGAAAAACAACAAAGTCAACATATCTTAAGGCGTCCGGAAAGATTTGAGAATCCACTGATCCTAATGGTCATATGGATCATGCGGGGGGAAAAAAATATTGTTTCATATAAAATTCAATATTTGAAAATTTATTTCCGTAGAATCCATCTTCTCGACGGAAGAGTCAACATATGTACCGAATAATTAACACCACTCATTATTTAATGTAGCATGATTCAATTGGCCTATTAGGGACATCTAAGGACAAAGTCCCAAGTTGCAATTTCTGGAATCAAACAACCGCGTCAACGAAGACATTCTTCATCCTTCGGGTTGTTTGGTATGAAAATTCAAAAAGTAGCCGCCGGGTGGGAGGACAACCTCATCCATATTTTCCTTTCCCTACTCTTTCAAATCGTCTGTCGGAGTTCAGACAAGGATTTTCTTTGTTCTTTTTTTCCTTCCTCCTTTTTACTATCTGGTTTGAACGATCACGATTTCATTTTTGTAAAGAGAAAAAGAAGAGGGAAATAATAATAATAACTGTGAAAGGAGGGGAGGGAAAAAAAAGAAGAAAAGAAAATCCACATTAATCTCTTTCTCGATCTCATGCTTCTTGCCTTGGGCCCCTTATAGTTTCCACGTGATATTATGTTATCGTTTGTTACATATTTCTAACACTGTCACATTAATGGTAGCAATTTCAAACACGACTCAACAATTGCACGATATTAAAGCTTATATATCTCTATTAATTAATAAAATACTCATTGTCAACCAAAATCCTATGAAATTATCAATTTAACCCTCTAATTAAAGCAAAACATGAATAAGAAATATGTGGCAGAAATGTAATTTCACACAACCAAATTTTGTTTTTTTCAAAACCTCACCTACATATAATCCTAACATATATCTAATTTAAAAAAAAAACAAAACTTATCACCCCCACATTCTCTATCACTCTCTTCCTCTCTCATTCTATTTCAAAAACAAAAAAAAAAAAAAAAATTTCTTACACACTTTGTGTGTACTCCTATGCTAATACCTAATTATAACGTTAATTATACCAACACTATTCAACAAGTATTACTTTGATAAAGTATACTTCTTGTTTACAAGACGAATACTATGAGTTGCGTATTGACTACTATTACATGGCACCATAAGTTAATAAGACCAGCATACGAATATAAATAGATAAATTGAGTTACATTTGGCATAAATATAAATAGATAAATTCAGTTACATTTGGCATAAATATAAATAGATAAATTCAGTTACATTTGGCATATACAACGCAAGTCAAGGCTGAAACAGCATTCCAACTCCATTTTAAAAGAGTTTTGCCGGTATTTAAGCGATACTCCACTTCTCATATTAGAAGGAAAATGTATAATTTTCTGTATCTTTACTTATTCGATTACACATGAAGTGGCCTTCAACATCGGACACATGGAAAATTTTCAATTTGCATAATAAAAACAAGGGTAACGTTGAGAAGATTAAATTTGTAGATTAAATTTTACAAACTAAATAACATGTAAGTTGAAAATTGTATTATAAGCGTTAATAAATGTGTTCATAATTATTTGTGACAAATAATTTAATTTGAAATTTTATTTATAAATTTAATCTTCGTAGCATTACTCAAAAAACGATAGTGAATGCAGTGTGAAGGTGGCTGCGTGACACGTCCGAGTCTAAACGTACGTACGTATGACAGCCGCTCCATTAATACATTACTGTTTCTTTGTTTTTTTGTTTGTCAACTTGCTGCTGTGACATCTGCCTCCACGTTTCCACGTGGCCCTAATTTCCATTATTTTATTTAATGATCTTTTGTCAACAATAGTAGAAGATGGGGAGATGGAGAAGGAGTGAAGCGTCGGGCAAACGGGGACCCGCGTGTTGCGATGGTGGGTTTTCAAAGCAATCACATGATGCGGGGCCAGAAGGTCTAATCTGACCCCAAACTCCGTTTATTTAGGTCGCGTTTTTCACGTGTTTTTCACGATTCACGGGATGACAAGTTTTGCCGTTTGGAGTTGGGTGCGTGTGTGGATCGTGCTGACGAGGACTCATAAGATACGGCAATTCCTAGTGCGCAAGCCCAAGTTTGTTTCCCCCAGTTCTACGCCGGTCATGATAAATGGTTACACTTTTAATTACACCGATGTTTTTGAGTTAAAACAAGAGAAATTATTATAAATATTTATTTAGGTATTTAACAAGTGTTTAATAATTTATTATAAAGATAAAATGAAATAAAAAATCATATATTTCTTGTTTGAATAGAGCCGCAATCTTGGTGGATTCAAACACTCGTCTAACCGGTGGCATCAAGCGGAAATTTTTGGAACAATGCTTTCAATCCACGAAGAGAAACATGTGAAGGGTGTGGAGATGGCTTTGCGGTTTGTGGCCATGCCACGGCTTTTGGTTGAGGACTTGGCTTCTCTGCCCTCCCACTTCCCATACATTTACATCATCTCCTATTTGTGCGGTCATAGTTAAGTCACGTCAACATTGTATATTACTATTGCTTTTTGCCTTATTATCTCTATAAAAAATCAATATAAAATGTTGATGTAATTTAACCATAACCGGACAAAATAAGAATGGATGAAAGTGTATAAGAAGTTGAAGGGCAGAGAAACTGGTCTTTGGTTGATACCTTCTCGTCAGGTGGCAGCACGCCCTCGCAGTATCAGATCTTGTCATCTCCCTTACTTTCTTTATGTATTTTATTAAAACTGGGTCAATACAATTAACTCAATTATTTTATTTGTTCAAATTAATTAATCTTAATGATCAATTTTAGTCGTGGCTTGCAACATTGGAGAGCCTACTTTTCCTCCTTTCTCTTTGTTTGAATGTTTTCGGGGCTTCCAGCATCTTCTTTCTTATAAAATTCCATTTGCACAAGTCTAATGTAATATTAAAATTATTTTAATCAAATTAGTTGAAGAATATTCAATTGGTTTTTTGAAAAATAGTTGTTCAACATTATCTTAAATAACTACACGTGTAAAGACAGTGATCAATCATCAAAATACATGGCCTGCCGCCTGTCTAATTATGTCATGCATGATAAAAATATTGAGGCATCGTCCCATGCATTGCGCAACAAGTAACAACTTATATGTATAAAAACTAAGTAAACAACAAAATGTGAGAGATTAGAGCATCTTAAAAAAAGATGTCAAATTTCAAATATAAAATTTAGATTTAATATGTGACGTTGTGATATTTTTTAAAATTTTACTTTTCACTTGATTTGTCAAATTAAACTATTATTTTATTACTTAAAACTATTATAATTAATGTTTAAAAAACAATAATAAAATTAATCAAATGC